CACGCATGTCCCGTACACAAGCCGCTTCGTAGCAAGTGAGAGGTTGCTGTCAGTGAAAACCGGCCGGCGCAGGGCTCCAAATGCACGTGATGCACCGGCAATGCGCGAGCTGATATCTGGGGTGGATCGGCCATTCGTGTGGAGGAGAGAGCCAAGATAACGGAAACTATCTACACACTCGACCACCTCACCCGCCACGTCCAGGGGCAGCCGGTCTGCTTCCACGAGTCCATATCCAGCAGCCATCACCTTTGTCTTGTCCAGGTTGACTGTCAAGCCGAAAGAATACACTGCATGTATGAATTGGTCAAGGGCACGCTGTGCACCATCATGAGTGGTAGCCAGCAGAGCAGAGTCATCTGCAAATTGACACTCGCGATGGACCTTGCTCTTGTCTGTTGACTTCCGACTGAATAGGAGACTGCCCCCAGGGTTTGTTGCCACAGGAATACCAACGCCAGGAATGTCGGCAACAGCACGATGCCACTGCTGGAAAACGGCCCACATCAACAGATTGAAGAGTACCGGTGCCATGCAGCAACCCTGCCGGAGGCCGTTCTGCACCTCAATTGGTGGCGCATCAACTCCCGGGATCTTCAACGTTGCTGTCATATTGGTGTGGAAAGAGCGTATGATATTATTGAGGCGCTCAGGGACACCTGCCTTCTTGAGGATAATCCATAGGCATTGGGGGCTGACAGAGTCATACGTCTTACCGAGGTCTACGAAGACGCAGAGAAGCTCTACGAATATCGGTACACACACACACACATACACACACACGCGCGCGCGCGCACACTTGTAGACACCAAGGAGCATACAAAGTACCTGACTGTTAGGAACTGGGTGAACAGAGATGCTTGTGTTTGATCCAGGCATTACAGCATGTGCTGGTTTAATCATATGGTTGGCATTAATGAACAGTGGGTGGAAGCAAGCAAGGCCAGTGACAATTGGATTTACCGAAAAGTACAGCGAGAACACCCCATCACCAGGTCCTTCTGTGGTCGGAGCACTTTAAAGCGGCTTACCTGCGTGCCAAAGGATTGCATAGATATCGGCACCAGCTCACTGTCACCAGCAATGGTGGCAAGAGTAGCCGTTGGTCCAGAAGAGTAACCCTTGTCACACGAATCCATTGCATCCTCCTTTGCCATTCCCACATTGTCCTGCCCAAATGTAGCGCCAATGCCTGGCAGGGCGTACTGCAGGCCAGCGACGTCAGAGCTGTTAGAAGTAGTGCCGGTACAGTATGCAGGCATCGCAGATGCAACCTGGACAAGAAACATGCACGATCCCACAGGATAACAACTCGATCAACGGCTGACATTGTTGCACGATGCGGTGTAGTCATCATTTCAAAGTGTGGTCCCTTTCCCTCGCCGCAATATGAAATACGGAAGGGAGAAAGGATCGGGAGATGATGATATGTCTACAAAAAGACATTTATTATACAACAATCTGAAGAGAAGGAAAACACAACTGAAGAGACAAAGCACATGAAGCACGGAAGAATCTCCCAAGCCAAGCAAGCATGCCGTTATGGTGCGAGTTCATACAACTGTGGGTATAAATCTAGTACGGGAGTACATGAACTGCAGGTCACATATGGCACGGGGGAATCCATATACATCAGATGATGGGGGTGGGAGATGATGGGGGTGGGAGATGATGGGGGTGGGAGATGATGGGGGTGGAAGATGATGGGGGTGGGAGATGATGGGGGTGGAATACGTTAGGGGTGGGAGATGATGGGGGTGAGAGATGATAGGGGTGGGAGATGAAAGGGGTGGAAGGGGATAGGGGTGGGAGAGGGGAGGGGCTGCAGAAATGCATCGCTCTCCTACATGAGAGTGGAATACGAGCGAGATAGTTCACCTCACAACATGCAGAACCATGTAAAATGTACGTTCCAGACGCACTCTAAACTTTACAACACCTGCAACAACCCTCTGGGTGTTTCTAAACTGTTGTGACTTAGTCCCCTATTGTCGGTGGCCATGACCAGATGGAACTGCTCAGGACTGATATCTCATAGTCCCTAGCACGACATGCACTTGAGGGCTGATACTACACTAGCAGCCTACTTTATGCATATCACGGTGGTCAAACAATTCCCTACCTGGTTTAGTCCAGCAAACTGGTTGGTAGCTCGTTGGTATTGCTCCGTTGGTTGCTGGTATTGTCGCTGCTGCTGTTGCTGATGCCGCAGCCACTGCTGTACACGCGGCTGTTGCTGCTGCTGTTGCAGTTGTTGTTGCTGCTGCTCCGCCTGCAGTTGTTGTAGCTGCTGCTGTTGCAGTTGTTGTTGCTGCTGCAATTGCTGCTGCTGTTGCAGTTGCGGCTGCTGCTGCTCCAGTTGTTGCGCTTGATATTGTTGCAACTGTGGATGTTGCAGCGCTGCACCATCAAATGACTGTTCCACTGCAGGCTGAGCACCTGGAAACAGTCCATTGGACCTGTTCACTTCCGCGAAACTTTGATTTGACATGTAGCCACGCTAAAACAACAGCAACACCAGCATAAACACTTTTTTTCAAAATTCAAGTTTTTGAGTTCCTCTTATACGGACAGAGGGAAGCAGCAACAGACACTCCTCTCTTCCCTCTTTTATGAGAGTTATCTAATGCACATGCGTAAAATATGTGTACTTGGCACGCTGTCAGCACCGGCACGCCTGCAGCCTGTCAGTTTGTACCCCCTCCCCTCTCTTTCTCCTTCTCTTTTTCTTTCTGCCTGTTTGCGAGTCTCTCTCCCTCTCTTTCTCGCTCTCTTTCTCGCTCTCTTTCTCGCTCTCTTTCTCGCTCTCTTCCCCCCCCCTTCTCTCTCTCTCTCTCTCTCTCTCTCTCTCTCTCTCTCTCTCTCTCTCTCTTTCTCTCTCTTTCTCTCTCTCTCTCTCTCTCTCTCTCTCTCTCTCTCTCTCTCTCTCTCTCTCTCTCTCTCTGTCGCTCTCTTTGTCGCTCTCTTTCCTCTCTCTCTCTCTCTCTCTCTCTCTCTCTCTCTCTCTCTCTCTCTCTCTCTCTCTCTCTCTATTTCCCTCTCTCTCTATGTCGCTCTCTTTGTTGCTCTCTTTCCTCTATCTCTCTCTCTCTCTCTCTCTCTCTCTCTCTCTCTCTCTCTCTCTCTCTCTCCCTCTCTTTCTCTCTCTCTCTCCCGCTCTCTCTCTCTCTCTCTCTCTCTCTCTCTCTCTCTCTCTCTCTCTCTCTCTCTCTCCCTCTTTCTCCTTCTCTCTACATCTCTCTCCCTCTCAATTTCCGAGAGCCAGTGAAAACCGCCCTCATGAATAAAATACTTGACAAGCACTGAATACTGTAATTTCACACACTTATAGTGGAAGGAAAAAAATTGGAGGCGTATCTAATTTCGAAAGAAAAGGTGACAGCACCGAAGCAATCCACATAGTCAAGTAAGCCAATTTGGTAACCGAAAGTTTTCGCTCCCTTCTCATCACGGTTAAGTACAGGGAATAATGGAAAATGTCAAAATACAGCAAAAAAAGTCGGAAAGGCAAAGAGGTGCAAAGCTTTTAAAGCAATGCCAGGGACACCGACTCGAAGAGTTACTCACAGCCAGGTGAGGATGCGTACTGGAGGAGACGAGCAGGCGGCGATTAGCCCTTTCCCAAAGGTGCTCTTTTAATTCGCACTAAGTGCTTTTCGCGTCCCTCAAAATATGCTGAAAAAGTGCTCTTTTTTCAGTGTAAACAGGCAAAAAGTGCTCTTTTTTCAGTGAAGCATAGCCGTGATACTTGTTCAGATATGAACCCAAGCTGAGAAATGAATACGCACTCTTCCATTAATGGGTCCGCGAAAGGCAAAACAGGAAATAAAGTTCAAAAAACCCACTTTTTACAGCATTGTGTACACCGGGTACAAGCGTCACCAACTTGTTGCCCCGAAAAAAGCGGCGTGCCAAGGCCCATCGTCCATCGAGCACTCGGAAACTGTGATCGCATGCATGAGCAAACAGATTTTACCACTTTTTCAGCTAAAAAAGCTCAAAAAAGGCGACATTCACCAAAAACGCAATAAAGGGCGAAAGAAACGGGCTTTTCCAAAAAGGGCGAAAAAGGGCGAAAAAAGGGCGAGCACCTTTGGGAAAGGGCTAGCGGCGATACCGGAAGTGACAACGAGCGTAAGTGGGAGGAAGCGTGGAAGACCACCACGAAAGCCACTAATCCAGACAACGGACGAATCAGACACTGGACGAGTGACCAGGTGGTGTGGTGGAAGGGACGAGTCAGGACCTGCGGCATCGGAAGTGACTGCAAGGCGACTGCCCAGTGGAAAGGACGGGTCAAGAGCTGCGACATTGGAGGTGACGAAAAAGACGCGACATTCCAACAATCAGCAATCGGCTATCAAGAGTCATCTGTCCGTTAGTGATAGTTGTCGTGAGTTGTACAGAGATGATGTTTTCTCCGTTTTGGCCCGTGGTAGATCAGTATTACATTTGTCTGTTTTGGAAGCGTTATATATCCGTACGTTGTGCCCTGAACTATGTGTTCAGAAGGAAAATGTTTTGTCACTGCAGTTGTTTGGCGCTACTCCTCGTGAAAGTGTCAGGAATGCTTCTCCTCGCTAATGTTTTCATTATGTTTTAGTCATTCCTTCACCTTCACCCTGTGTTTGACCTGTTCTACTGAATTTAATTTTTTCCACACGTATAGCGTGAGGTTTTCGATCTTTGCTTTTGCTGTACCTCTATAAATTGCTGTATTTTGACATTTTTCCATTATTCCCCGTACTTACCCATGATGAGAAGGGAGCGAAAAGGTTCGGTCACCAAATTAGCTTACTTATCGTGTACTTTTTACTTTCGTTACTTTCGATCCATCTCTTTCATATCTAACATATTAATAGCTGCACATCCACCAGCACATTACCCCGGAATTAGACACTCCTTCTCCGTACTTCACAAATTCCAATAGCCGCACGAGCACCGAGTCGCATCATCCAGTAGGGGACTGCTTACTAGTGTGTACCCCTAAAATTTCTGTTGGCCTAGCACTCAATCTGTGGACAGAACTGTTTCCTCCTTTGTTGACTCATCAGCGCAGCACAGAGAAAATGAGGCCGAACCTGATAGCAACAGGTTGACGTAACATGTTCTTTTCGGGCCTCTTTGAGCACCTGAAATTTCTGAAAAATTATACCAACGAGTACCGTCTTGCAGTCTTCGGCATTTCAACACTTCACACTTCACAGCCTGCACCTTTCAGAGCCCTTGCACGAACGTAACACTATAATAGTGTAGTCCAGAGGTTGAGGCTCAAAGCAAGACAACCTTATGGCATGTCCTTCCGCTGTCACACGAAGGAGCGGACGGAGCACTCCAGAAGTCATTATAGAAACCCCATAGGGGCATGTGCATGCACACTTGTGACCGTAAGTATCCACATCAGGACACGTGCTTACAGTTACACACTTGTGCCTAAGCCACAACCAACAACGACATAATGTAAGCCTTGTTTGGTAGATTACCATGTTCATCGGTTCATTCGGTTGTCAGGGGCACTGTTTTCGACACAGTGCGCATTCCGCCTGGTAACATGCTGTCAACCGATCAAGATAAACATGGCCCATACTAATTGATACTCTCGGAAGGCAACTAACTGTCTTGAACCATACTCAGATTTACTTCGATGACCATTCAGAAGAATACCATCACAAGCAGAACTCTGGAAATCACAACTACGCCTTCGCTCCAATGAACTACTGTATAGCAGGAAATTTTCGGACAAAGCCGAATTTCGACCTTCCGTACGGATTATATTTTCGCACAGTGCTAGCTATGCTGCATGCTAAATTCACGTGTTCGCAAGCAGTATGCATGCTATAATGTACATAATTTCACATGAACAAATTGTAGCACGGAATTCATTTTAGTACAAAAGAGGCCGTGAACGAAATCGTACGAAAATAAATTCCGTCCGAAAATTCCCTGCTATACAGTATATAGCAGCAAAGCACCGCAGCTTCCAATCAGCAAGAGCGGCGGCCACATCTAACACCTTGCCTCTACACCAACACTTAGCACATAGAATGATGTAGATAAGAAGAGCGCGTGTTGACGAATAAGGTGCTAAGTGCTAGGGTAGAAACAAAGCGCTAGACGTGGCGCGTACAGGTAATAATGTAGCAGAGCGTGGAGAGGAAAACTGTTCAGTAACATTCAAAGAAGCAGAACGAGAACGAATAATACATCAATTGAGGCTACCTTCGAAACATTTTCCTCTTCCTTGATATGAGACAACCTGACCAGATCGAAACAAAACAAAATAAACAGTACCTTACTAGCTCCACCACTAAGAAGCCAACATCGTGCACATAGCAAAGCAAGTCCAGGTCGCTAGACAGCAGGTCCCCCGCAGCGGCGGCCCAAGCAGCTGGGTAAAGATATAGCAATACCGCTGACTTATAATAATAAGAAGATAGAGGGCATGCAATGATTAGCAGAAGACAGACAGCAGAAAAGCTAGAGTGTCCACATTAGTCCATCACTCTGGCGCATACTCCAGTGGGCACAAGCGGTTGATGGGTCGCACAAGAGTACGATCACCCTCCTGCACCTTCGCAACACGTACTCGTTCATCCTTCCCGGGGTAGGCTTCCAGAACCCGAGCCAATGGCCATTTACGCCTAGCGGTGTATGGTGACAGCAACAGCATGACATCACCAACCTTCACGTTCCGTTGGTCTGCCGTCCATTTGACCAGCTTGCTGAGCTGAGGCAGCCACTCCTGGATCCAGCGACGCCAGACATGCCCCAGCAGCTCCTGAATGCGTTGCTATCGCTGACGAGGATGGTCTGACTCCGGTAGGACGACTTCTCCAAGTCTCCCGTTCAGAAAATGATTCGGGGTGAGGGGCAAGTTGTCATTGGGGTTGACTGATATGGCAGTGATCGGGCGAGAGTTGATCAGATCCTCTGCTCCGGCAAAGGCGTTCAGCAGATCCTCGTCGGTGATGTCATTGCCAGACAGAATGTGGTAAAAAGCACGTTTGGCTGCATTCACCATAATCTCGAGCACGCCACCGAAATGAGGTGCTGCTGGATGGTTGAACGACCAGGACACACCATGATGTGCGGTGCCCGTCTGGACTTTGGCTTGGTCAATGTTGCGAATGACGTCCTTCAGCTCCCGAACTGCACCAACAAAGTTGGTGCCATTGTCCGATATGACTTGATCGGGAAGGCCGCGCTGGCTCACGAACCAGAAGAAGCAGTTGATGAAACTAGATGTGTCGAGTGAGAATGCGAGCTCCAAGTGTACAGCGCGCGTCTCCAGACACGTGAATACACATAGATAGCGTTTGATTCTGGCCTGACCGCGTCCCAGCATGGTGAGGAAGGGGCCGGCGTAGTCGACGTCCACGCGACTGAACGCACGGTGAGAGGGCACAACCCGACTGAACGGCAACGGTGCCATTCGCTGCCCCACTGGCTTGCTCCAGTACCGGCGACAGACTGCGCACTCCTGTTCCCACTCGTGGACGG